TATCCAGTGCCCTCTTCTAGTCTCTGTGAACACCAGGCACATACGTGGTACATAGACACACATGCAGGCAAAACATCCATACCCATAAAATTCAAAAGATAAAAGAAATGAAACTATCTGGAGCTTTCTCCACACCTAAAAGATCCTAACTGGCAGAGAACTCTGGCTTGTAGTTATTCCATCTATAGTTTCTACTTTGGAATCCAGTTTAATAATGTCTAAGCTAGAATGTTAATTCCCAGCCTGCCTACTGGACATTGTTGTTAAAAGTACCAAACACAGAAATGTCTTTAAAACTATGTTGGGGGCTCCACAGCAAGGTGTTAGTCAAGACATGTGAGTTAGAAGCTAGAGCCCCCATTGGCCAGCTGTATGACCTGTGTCACCAACTCCTTGCCCAGACTGTAAACAGAAGGACTCCCTCACTTGCCGCTTTAATCCTTGCCAGAGATACAGTAGAAAATAAAGCCATCGATACCGCCTCACAGTTAAAAGCTCCTTCCTTGTTTGTAACAAAAGGGGAACCCAAACTGGTTTCATCGAGTGTATGATATGGAGTTAAAAGTTTGTCATTAAAACGCTTCAGGAACCTAGCCAGCAGGTTAAGTCAAAAGGAAGGTAGCAGTCACTACGTTTACCGGGAAACCGAAAACAAAAAGACTGTTAGATGTCTAACACATTTGGGTGGCAAGTACTTATGGGAACACTGTTTAGAACTTCAAATCAACCAAGTATGGGCAGTGCGGATTCTTGCATGTCGTTCAAAGCATAGCACCAAGAAAGGAAAGCCAAAACAGCCTTGCCGTTGAAGTTGATCCGGAAGTCAGAGACGAGGAGGACAGGTAGGCCCATGGTGGGAAGAGGAACCCCAAATACTAGCAAAAGAATACTTATGTCTGGCCAGCATCCAACACAAAGGCAAAAAAAAAAAAAAAAAGAAAGTTGCATCTTTCTGGTGGTTCTCAGAGAGGTGGGCAGACCCACCAATCTCAAGGTGACTCCTAGGGATGTTGCTAGGGGTTAGAAATTTGGAGTGAGAAGATTGCAGTATCTCACTGAAGGACTGATTCCTGTCTCTTTAGCATGGATTAAGGTGAGTCCACCTAGCAGGGGTGGTTCCTTGGGCAGGTGACTGACCTAACCCAACAGCAATGTTAGGTTCTACCCAGGCCGCCATTCTGTTCTTTTGACTGCACAGTGCTCCCTTAATGGGCCTCTAATGCAAATGGCACAGGTTAAGCTGATCTCTGATTCTGTATCGACTAACTCTGTTAAAAGACAATAGATATTAGCTACACAGAACATGCAAAGTCAGTACTCCAGGCAATTACGTTAGCTAAACACCAAGAGCTCTGTCTTGGATAATGTCTCTAGTTATTAAGTCAGATAGTTACACTTCATAAATGGATGGATTATGTGACGGTGTAAGTAGATCATGATAAATAAAGATGATTTTTCTGTGATTATGACTGATGTCAAGGAGCCCCAAATCTTCTTCTTCCCTAAGGGAAGAAGAAAACAATAGCAAGATTCCACCATCTGCTGTCATTCTGACCAAGGCTGAATTCCAAGGAGGAGGAGACCAACTTCAGGACGCTCACCCCACCCAACCATCATTGTCTGTGGTTAAAGCAAATTAGGCCTCAGTAGATGAAGTCACAGGCCCAGACATGTTTGATTTGAATGATGAAATATTATAAATGGGTTCTTAACTGACTTATTTTAAAAGTGGGCTGTCCAGCAAACTGTCAACCTCTTCGCCTCTCTCACCCCACCTTAAACACTCGTCCATTTCATTTCCTTAGATTTCCTGCTTAACCCCAGGAAACAGGAATTTTCCAGACCCGCTTAAAAGACAAAAGGTCACAAGGCTGGAATCTGTCTTCTCGGGGACTTCCTTTATTTACTGAACAGTTTAAATGGTTTTCCTGCTTCTGAGTTTTTGTCCTAGTATCAGTAGAATATGGCTGGCTCAACAGAAATAGAATACTAGAAAGATAGTCTTTAAATATATGCCAGCAATATAGACAATGCAAGAGCAATAAAAAAAAATTGCAATTGAAAAACATACAATATCCAAATTTAAGGGAAAAAGCCATGAGTACCCGCAGCCGACTCAAGAAACTTGTTATAAACAAATCTGTGAGCAGAGAATATAATTTAGTAGTAAAGCAACTGTGTGGTGTGCACAGGGCATATTTCTGGTTTTAATTCTCTGCAACACATATGCCCACACTACTTCACAAACACATATACCACACACCCATACCTACAGACACACACACACAAACCATACATATATCTACTCCATATACACACATACCACATACAAATACCTACACATAAACCACACATATCACACACACACCTACCACACACACATATACCACAGATACCACATACACATACCTACACATACACACCTTATACACACACATACTACACACATGCCTTCCACACATACACACCACCTACACACATATAAACACACACCACACACGCAGACCACAGACACGTATGCCATACCACATATACACAAACATAGTCACATACACACAGATATACCACACACACAATTCTAAAGTTTAAGAGAAACTAAACATCATTAAGCTCAAATACCTGAGAACTTACTCTCTGGTAAATTGTAAAACAAGACAGTTTTATAGAAATAAATATATAACTGACATAATTTGTGTAGATACATATATGCATAAACATATACATAGAAATAAAATAGATATAAACAATGTAGCCCCAGAAAACAAACCCGTTAAAGGCTAGGATGGTATCTACTCAAACTTTAGTCTGTAATTCCATAGATCGGAAGTTTCCAAGCCTAGAATCATCTCCGAAGGTTAAAAACAAAAACAAACAAACAAACAAGCAAAAAAAGCCGGTGTCTAAATCACTCCGAACATTCAGACTTAGTTGCTGTGAGGTATTGCCTAGATGTTCGTTTTCAAAAGTTTCTCACATGTATCTAAAATTGGACAGACAAGGAAGGTTAGCAAACAGCTGTAATCCAAGCACTTAGGAGGAAAAGTCAGGAGACTCAAGAGTTCAAAGTCTTTCTTAACAATTCAGAGAGTTTGAGGACAGCCTAGGCTACAAGAGATCTTGTCAAAAAATGATAGATAGATAGATAGATAGATAGATAGATAGATAGATAGATAGATAGATACCAAAAAAAGGCAATCCTGTGGACATTGCTTTGGCTATCATTAAATATTAGGATTATTGCACCTTTAAGGACCAACCATCTGAGCTGGGTGAGATAGGTCAGCACCAGGTAAGCATGATGCCTCTGTTACCCACCAAAAAGCATTGTTTTGGTCACCATCATGCACAAAGATGGGACCCCAGGAGGACATCACCTGAGACATTTTAGCTCCATGATTAGGATAAGCACGTTCTCTTGTTCACACAATGATACAATTAAGTAACGTTTTTCCAGAACATACCCCCAGCACTATGCCACACAGAACTACAATTACGCAATGACTGTGGTCTTCCTGGATAGACATAAGAGAATCAAAGACAGTTTATTTTAGCAGCATGGTTGAAATTTGCTTTCCTTTCACGCGGCAGTGAAAGAGACTTGATCCTAAAACTTTTAGAACCAACTAATGACAAACTGCACAGGGAGATTTACAAGAGACAAGGGATTACTAAAGGAAGGGTCTGAAAAAAAAACATTTCCTTTTTAAAGTAAAACAAGAGTGCTTCATAGACCAGTTTCCTGTTTTGGCTCTAATCAGGTACTTGGTGGTGTAAACAAACCAAAAGTATTATTACAAAGTTCTGTTAGTTTGAAGTCTAACATGGATCCCAGAGGGCTAATACCAATGTGGCAGCAGACTACATTTTCTCCCCTGGTTCTGGGGTAAATTTTGTGGCCTTTTCCAAAAGGCTGTCCAGTCCCTAATTCTTGCCCCCCCCCACCCCTCATCTACCTTCAAGCAGGCTGCTTGGGCTACCAGCTCCCTCTCTCCTGGTTCTCTTTTCCAGTTAAAAAAGTCATCTTTCTCTGATTGGTTTGTTTTTGTTGTTGTTGTTGGTTTGTTTTGCCTTTCTCTTCTACTTTTAAAGACTGACTCTTGTGATTTTAGTGTGAACACAAGGGTCTTCCCTACTTTTATCTTAAATGATGTGCAACTGTATTTCATCCACCCCTTAATTTCCCTTTGTCACATGACCTAACATAGTTACATAGCAACAACAATGCAAAGACAAGTCAAACTAGATTGGCCCTCACATAGCCGCCAGTGAACACCCAGCTCTCAGTTCCTTCAAGACTGACAACTATGTTTCAAGTCCAAGGACTATGGATATAAGCATCCTTGGATGGGAGGAGGCGGGGCGTTAGTCTGCCTTACTATATTAAAATGTTGCTTCCTTAAAAAAAAAAAAGTGGGGTGAAATCTTCATCTATTACATGAAATTTGGAATGCTCATTCCAGTGCATCTGGTTTTCACCATCATCTATGCTTTTATTTTTGAAACTATTCTATTATTCATAATAATGCATATTGTGTAGCCTACTGTGGGTATATGTGAATGACCATGCTAGTAACTCAGTGGAGATCAGAGGTGGCAGGTGCCCCTGGAGCTAGAGTTACAGGTAGTTGTGAGCCGCCCAACATGGATGCTGGAAATTAAACTAGGAAGGTCAACTGTCAACTTTGAGGTATGTGCTCTTAACCCAGGATCCTCAACCTGTGGGTCATCTATGACCATTGGAAAACACAGGTATTTATGTTACAGGTCATAACAGTGGCAAAGGTACAGTTATGAAGTAGCAACAAAAATAATTTTATGGTTGAGTGTCACCACAACATGAGGTACTGTATTAAAGGGCCATAGCATTAGAAAGGCTGAGAATCATTGTCTTAATCAATGAGCCATCTCTCTTGCCTCCATATGCTTTTAAATTATCAGCTCTTTATACTTAGATCAACCCCATGATTGACAGTATCATCGCACTGAACTGTCTTGAATGCCATACTCTTTCTTATATGTGACAAAACTCATACTGAACTGTTGAGTTCTGGATTGCAAAAGAGGGTTTATTTTCAAACGTGCTTCATGTCTTTGTTTACCGTTCAACAAACCCACACACATGTGCTAATACCTATTAAATTTTTAATCCACCTGAGAAGCTAATCAGGATCACTGTTTTCTAAAGATATAAAACAGTGATAACTGCCCAAGACATGTATTCACAAGGCAAGTATACCTTCCTCTCCTCTATAGCTGCTCCACAGCAGACATTACTAATCAACCAGGTATAACTTTAAAATCCTCCGTAGAGCTTGCTGGGTAATCAGCACTAGGAATAGCCAATCAGAGTTGGAAGATAAACTGAGCTCTGCTTTCCTGTGTAGAAAAACTTACAGCAAGAAGAGATTCTCCCAAGGCCTTTCTAGAGCTGTTGTTACTCTAAAACAAAGCACCATTGCATTCTATAAGTACTCTATGCAAGCAGTCCATAAGCACCGGGGTGGGGTGTGGGGGGAAGCAGCAAACAAAACCCACATATAATTCAACCCTCCAGAAACACATTTTCTGCCAGCTGTCTTAACATTTGCCTAGTTCTTGGTCTGTTACTGTTTTTTTTTTTTTTCCAGTTGTGATAATGTATTCTCCAAAAAACAACTTCAAGGAGAAAGGTTTTATTTAACTCACAGTTCCAGGTTACAGGCCATGGTAACAGTGAAGCCACAGCAACAGGAGCCTGCCAGGGCTGGTCATGTTGTCTCTATAGTCAGGAACAGAGAGTGGTGAACGCAAACACGCTAGCAGTCAGCTTACTTTACCCACTCTCACATGGTTCAGGATCTCCTGCCTAGGGAATGTGCCACCCACACTGACTGGGTCTGCCCACCTCTATTGACAGAATGAACATAACCCCCCCACCCCATGGACAGTTCTCAGAGGCCCATCTCCCAGATAGTTCCAGATTTTTGACAAATTAACAGTTAACACCGGTAGTCATTCACTCATTCATTCAACATATTTTTTACTGAGCATTCCTCTAGACTTCAGAGGTATAATGGTAATAAAACAGACAAAAAATTTACGTCTGCAAAGCTCAGATATATGCAAAAACATTTTTTTAAAAGTCAAATATGACATAATCTTTTTATTTTCTATTTTTTTTATTTTTATTTTTATTTTTTTGATTTTTCGAGACAGGGTTTCTCTGTGTAGCCCTGGCTGTCCTGGAACTCACTCTGTAGTCCAGGCTGGCCTCGAACTCTGGAACTCAGAAATCCGTCTGCCTCTGCCTCCCGAGTGCTGGGATTAAAGGCGTGCGCCACCACTGCCCGGCTGACATCATCTTTTTATATGTGTGGTGTGTAACTGGTTTTTTTCTGTCATAGTTTTTGGAAGCGTAGCTCTGATTTTGTCAGACTCTTGTGGTTTTTACCAACAGGCTCAACTGAGCTAAGAGCTAAGATGATTATTATGTGCTACATAGACCTCATTTGTCTTATCTTTTTATAGTTTGTTGCTGTGTGATCAAAAGAAACCCTTCACCCCCAAGTAGAGACTGTTGCAGACCACAAAAGTCTACTTAGGACACTAAAGAGAACGCTCTTTCTGTTCCAATAACCCGTTACCACATAATGTGTCCCAGCAACATAAAGCAGCTTTAAATTATAGCAAGTTGGGGAGCAAAAGGTTTATTTGGTCTACACTTCCATGTCACTGTTCATAACTGAAGGAAGTCAGGACAGGAATCTGGGGGCAGGAGCTGATGCAGAGGCCATGGAAGGATGTTGCTTACTCGCTTGCTCTTCATGGCTTGCTCAGTCTGCTTTCTTATAGTACCAAGGATCCCCTATAATGAGCAGGACCCTCCCACATAAATCACTAATTCAGAAAATGTCCTACAGGCCAATCTTTGGGAGGCATTCTCTTTATTGATGTTCCCTCCTCTCTGATGACTCTAACTTGTGTCGGATGATTCTAACTTGTGTCAGATTGACTAATCACACAATTGTCCCCTTGTCACCCTGGCACACAAACACATCAACTATCAAGCCACTACCTTTCCTTTCTTGCTGATGCCCAAGATCACACATTGATATTGTCATTATAAAACATTTTACACACTTAAAAAAAAGTCCCAGTCTTTACAAATTCAAACACTTTAAAACTTAGTCTCAAAAACAAAATAAAACAAAACAAAATAAACAAGAAAAGACAGTCTCTTTTGAAATCCAAAATCTTTTTTAAAAAAAATTCAGTCATTCAAGTGTGGGCTCCTGTAAAATTATTTATATATATATATAAAATTTAAATATTTCCTTATTTCAAGAGGAAAGAAGCAGGACACAGTCACAATCTGAACAAAGGAAAACCAAACTCCTGGTGTGTAATTAACTCAGTGTTCAATGTCTGAGATCCATTCACAGTATTCTGGGGTCCCGCTAAGTCACTTTTCTGGCTCTACCGTGTGGAACACACATAGCTTGTCTTCTAGGCTTTGGTTGACCCCATTCCACCACTGCTGCTGTTCTTGGTATCCCACGGTATTGACATCTCTGAAGTGCTGGGGTCTCTTACTGCAACTGGGCTGCACTTTCATCAATAGCCTCTCCCGGTCCTCTCTTCGGGAACCCCCAGTCCTGCTACACAGTACCAAGTATCTGCTCTCCATGACTCCTTGAAGACTTCAAAACTAGTACCATCTGGGTGACTTTTATACCACCAAGTTCAGTTGCCAGCACAAGGTGCAACTTTGACCACAGCTTCTGTGCGCTGACTCTGAGGAAATGCTTCCCAGAAGATCTCACCTCAACAGTGCTGGACTCTTCCTAATCACCACTCGTTTCTCAGCTCCAGATAACTGGCATCAATTATCCAAGCAAAACAAAAGGTTTCACTTTAGTAGTTCTGGTATCTTGTTAACTGAAGAATCTAGTTGATTCTTCAGTTGCAGCTAACCAGAACCCCAGCTTCTTAACTCAAATTAATAATGGGCTCTGATAAACCCATTAGAGGACTCCTAAACTTTCATAAGCCAGGCCTCCAATGTCTGTATTTCGCTCAACACTCTCATTTTCCAGACTCCCCCAGAAGGCTCACCAAGCATCGAACAATCAATTGCTTTTCTAGCCCAAAGCTCCAAAGTCCTTCCACAATCCATCCAAAAACATGGTCACGTCTGTCACAGCAATCTCCTACTATCCCAGTACCAATCTGTGTCTTAGGCTTATCATTGCTATGATGGAATACCATGATCAAAGCAATCTGAGGAAGGACAGGGTTTATTTGACTAACATTTCCACATCTCTCTTCATCACTGAACGAAGTCAAGACAGGATAAACAGGACAGGAACCTGGAGGCAGACACTGATGCAGAGGCCATGGTGGGGTGTGTAGTTATTAATAAATCTCAACTCGGGATTTCTTCCCCCCTTTAGACCATTTATGTTCCCAGATAAAACACACACGCAGCCTTTATATTTTTAAATATGCCTTTAGGCAGCACAATAGCTGGGCAGCTGTCTGCCCTCCATGCTGTTAGAATCAAGTTCTCTATCGATAACACTGAATTATTACTTACTATTTTCTATGTTTCGTCTGGACTGCTCTTAGCTCTGATTGGCCAGCCCACAGGGCCACATTTTCTTTATTCCTACCCCATGGTGGTTCTCTCTCTCTCTCTCTCTCTCTCTCTCTCTCTCTCTCTCTCTCTCTCTCTCTCTCTCTATCTCTCTCTCTCTCCCCCCCTCCTTCCCTCCCTCCCTCCCCCTCCCCTTTCTCTCCCTCCCCTTCCCTCTCCCTCCCTCCCGCCTCCATGTTCTTCTTCATCCATGGCTGCTTCTCCTTCTCCTTTCCTCTTCACAGTCTCTCTTCTCTCTACCCCAAGCTCTGGAAAACTCAACCACGCCTATCTCTCTGCCCAACTATTGGCTGCCAGCATCTTTATTCACCAATCAGAATTAACTTGGGGTGGGTCCGAGGCTATGTGCAGACTCCAGATCGTGGAGGCCAGCACTTAGCCTTACAATAAACAGTAAAAGACAAGACCTCAACATGGGTATTGTTCCTTTTGGCTTGCTCAACCTGCTTTCTTATGGAACCCAGGACCACCAGCCCAAGAGTGGCACCACTCACAATGGCGTGGACCTTCCCACATCAATCACTAACTAAGAAAATGCCCCACAGGCGTGCCTGCAGCCCAATCTTATGGAGGCATTTTGTCATTTGAGGCTCCCTCCAATCTAATGATGCTAGCTCATCTCAAGTTGACATAAAAGCATCCAGCACAGTTACCAGCTCATCAGATTCTGGGGTGTCCTTCATTTAGCTGGGCAATCTCTCTTAGCTTTCTTTCAAAGCCAGTTTGATTTTTGCCACTGAAAGCTTGTTGAATCATTCTTGTTCATTTCCGTACTGATACTGAGTGCTCACTAGAAGTTCTGACAAAGCTGTAATGTGAAATGTCTACCTAATTCCCTGTATGCGTTCTTATAGCGTGGTGGTTGGGTTTGAAGATCCTAGGTCTAAAATTCCTAAGTGCAAGGTACTTCACCTCTATGACATAGCCTATGAGGTCACACAGGGTCAACTTCAGCATAGTCACAGGTGTCTGATCCAAGGAGAAACCTGAATCCCACCTTCTGGGAGCAGGAGGGACAGCATCACAGTTTTCAGGGGAGGGTCTAGTACAGCAGCAACATCTGGGAAATCTCCACATACTTGGTTCTCTCTTTACCTACATCTGCATGGTCAAAGTCAAGACGAGAAACCACTCAGCCCCCATAATTGAATAGCTAATTCCTCTCTTACATAGGTACATACTTTGAAATATTGGTTGATTAAACAGCTTGAACAAGGTTATTCCTTGCAAATTCTCAACAAAATCTGCCAGAAGAAACAACATTTCCTGTGTATGAGTTCTGGAAATAACCATTAATGTTGGCGTATAAAGCTAAAATTTTGCTGGCTAATGCTTTAACGTTAGGAAGGTTTGCCAGATAGATTTCAGATAACTGAGGACTGTCCAGGTATCCTGTTAGGAAGAAAAGTACATATCTTATCCTACCCACTTAGTCTTATCAGTAAGGAGGGTGGGAAGAGGAGGAGGAGGAGGAAGAGGAGGAGGAAGAAG